CTAACCATGGAGGTTCTTCCTTTTAAAAACAGATATGTGAAACCAGTTGAAATGGTTGAGTAACTTAAGCTACATTTATGTTAATTCTATTTACTGACTAATTTCACTTTAATTTATTATTTTTGTGGTTTATTATCACTTATAGTGATCTCCCTGTATATGTCTTATTTTACGCCTTGTTGATTCTGTTGACCACATTTTGTAGGATCGTAATAAAATTAATTGAATTGATAGTGATTTCCTTCTGATTTTATCATGCTCTGCTAGTTTGTCTTCCACATTTTTATCTCTTTAACTTTTTTTTTTCTCTGTCTCAGACATCATTTCCAAAATCTATCTGGTGCTCAAAGGTCATCATGACAAAGCTCTATTACATTGTAGCCTGTAGCACAATTGGGTAATAACTTGAGGCACATTACCTTTCACTGAAAGGTAAAGTTATAAAACTTTGTTGAAAAAACAAAGCTAGATCTCTCATTCTATACGTTTAACCTTCTCAGAAGTGCACTTGAGTTATATTTTTGAGAAACATCATATGTGATGCATCATTTAGCCTGAGAAACAGTCATAACTGAATATTGAACGAGTAATAACTGATCTGGTGAAAAATATCCTTTCACTTGTTTCTCACACATGAACCTTAAAATACAGTGGGTCAAAACTTTGGTCTGAGACAAAGAATGCGTACAGTATTGACTTGTGAGATTCCCCCCCCCCCAGACAACAGTAATAAATTACTTATGAATGAAACTACTTCTGTTGCAAGTAACATAATCTTACAATCTTGCAATACTGGACAGTACAGCTGCAGAGATTTTACCAGTTACAGACTTGCTCTTTTCAGACCTGCTTATCATCTCTGTCTAGCAAATGCTTAAGTGAATTCTGCTGTGCTCTGTGTGACAGGATATGTAACAAAATCAGAGGAAAACAGAAGCTTTCATTTGTCTGTAAAGGGCATACAAAAGCGTAGTAAGTACTGACACTTGAAGAACAAAAGGAAAATGTTGCCAGCCTTGGAATTTCAAGCAAGTGATCTTGTTTGCAAACCATTGCTTTTAAGACAGCTATATCTTGTCTTGATAACAACATAAAATGAATTCTATATTGTGGAGGTGGGAGTAGGGAAGAAGGTAACAGGGGTTTTTCTCTGTTTTCTACTAAGATTTTCTAATGACAGGAGAAACAGTAACAAAAAGATGTACAAATCTGTGAAGCAAAAAGGAGAATATTGTTTCCTGGATCTTCAGTACCATTTTGAGCTCCTTTCATTTCAAATGTTACTAAAATCTTTTACAAAGTCATTGTAACTTTTTCCTGGTAATCATTCTTGTCACAACAAAAATAGCATTGCATAGTCAGAAAGACTGCATGGGAACAAATGTGTGCATGATCAATGTATGTTCTAATGTAAGTAGATTCAGGGGTCTTTTGGGGCCGGAGCCCACCGGAGCGCCACTCCGGCAGCCCAGAAGCAAGCAAAATGGCGGTGGTGGCAAGCCCCACCCCCCAAGTGCATTCTCTCTAAAATCGCGCTGCCTATGCGGCGCAACTCCAGAGAGAAGGAGGTGTAAACTTTAAATCCCCTTCTCCAGGGCTATTTTTGGGCCGGAACAATGTTCCAGCTGGCTTCCAAGCCGCCCCCCCGCTTCTCCCCAAAAGTGGCTGCATTCCCTAAAAGCCAAACAGAAGCTGTGGAGCACGTGTCAGTTAGTGGATGAAAGGGGCTCCTTCGGGCCAGCCTCGCCTCGTCTACTGCACCATCAATACTGAGGCAGTGTTACTGGGGTTCAAGGTTTGGACCCCATTTGATCGGATGCAACCTTCAGTTGGGTGTGTGTGTGTGTGTGTGTGTTAGGGTTACCATACTTTGAAAAGCTAAAAAGAGGACATGTTTACTAACTGATAGATCAAGATGGGTAGCTGTGTTAGTCTGTAATGTTAGAAAAGAGCAAGAGTCCAGTAGCACCTTAAAGACTAACACGATTAACAGATTTGAGCAGATGGACAAATCAGAGGGTAAGCACAGAAAACAGGTGCTCTGAATTTACACAGCAGAGCCAGGAACCCCACCCACCCACCCAAAGGAAAGGAGGACCTGGGGTAATTTGGTGGCCACTCACAATAGCTGCAATGTGAGCCAGCACACAGACAAATGTTATAGGAGTTAGTGAGTATTCATAGGACATTTCCAGTCATTCAGT